TGGGAATGCCAACCTCCTGTTTGCCTCTTACTTGGGTTCTAAGAGAACAGTAAGGCACAAAGGAATTGTCCCAACAGCTCTGGCTGAAGATGTTGACTTTTGAAATTTAGCTGAAGTGCTGGCCTTAGATATTTTACAAGTCACTGGCTGACTTAGGAAGTATATTCTTCTGAAACCACTGCTGGCAGAGACATGGGACTAAATTCATACAGTGAAAAGGAACTTTGTTTTGGTGATAGAAGTCTGAAAGCATCATTCATCAGCCATCTGTGGCATGACCCTGGGGGAATGATTCACCAGTAAATTTTCTTATGAACTTGGACATGGAAGAAAATATAACCTATTGTTTTTTGTTCAGTTTTCAGCACTGAGCCCCTGGAAATCAGCTGAAACAAGAGAATTGCACTAATTGAGTTCATTTTTCTCTTTCATAAATGAGACTATCAAACCAGGCAGATACAAACCAAGAATATTTTTGCTTTCACTCTCAGTGTACTAGAAATTGCTCACATTTTGGAAGCCATACAAAGGGCCTTCTCATATCTCCACTGCTTTCATCTTTGGACATGTAAAGCTGTGTGTGAAAGGAGGACTGAACTCTTGTCCAACTGTTTGTGGAGGGACTCTGTTGTAGTCTGCTCAACCCTAAAAAAAATCACACTGAGGGAATCCTCAGTCTAAGACCCATACACAATATAAGCAGCTCCCTAACTTGTCAGAGGGTGTGCTCCTTAACCACCCTAAGGAAAAAACAGGAAAAGGCAGCTTGTCTTGCAAAAGAGCACTTGAAATTGTGCATGAAAAATTAAGATGTAACGGAAAACTTGCAAAAAAACCCCTTATGTTTCAAATAAATTACAGAAAGCCCAATATCTCATAAACACCCAGGGTTATATTTTACTTTTAAAGAAACCAATTTGCCTTGAGCGTTCCTTGTCTACCAGAAAGTAGCTATTTTTGTGAGATTGTGGTGGGTTTTAGCTGCCCATCATCTGTGTCAAAATGAAAAATCATTTGCTGCAGGTTTTTCTTTAAATACCAGAACCACTACACAAAGAGGAGAAAAGGGAGAATGTCCTAGTATAGTTTTCTGAGAATCTTTGCATACCTACTTTAGAACAGTTTAATTTTAAGCGTATTAAATGTAGGCCATTTCCTTTCTAAAAGGATAATTTGATAATGGATTTGATAATGGATACAAGATGCCAGCTCTCTACTCAATACCTCAGTATTTATCTATGTATATAACTTCAACATTTCTTTCTGAAAATCTGTTTTGTAACAATTTCTGACCACATCAAGACAATTGCAAAGCATTCCTTGGAGTCTAGCTCAGGCTGCACAGGGAAACCAAGACCTTTATGCATCACCAAGAGAAAGCTCCCTGCAGGCTCATCTGGGGTGGAAACCTTCTAACTAGGATGGAAAAGAAAAGGGGACCAGGCTCTCCAGTGGGTGCTGGCCCAGCAGAAGGATCTTGTGGTCATTGTACAGTTTTAACTCCACTAGTCTCAGGTTTGTGACTCTAACATTCTGTTGTGGAACTGGCAGGCACAGGTTGAGAGGCCAAAAACTGAAGCCAAAAGCAGTCAAGAAACAGCACTAGTCATTGATAGTTTTGCCTGAAAGGTGAGAGAGAACGTCTGGAGATCCACTACTTGATTCTCTTCAGCTTTCCTCAATCACTTAGCACATTCATTCTGTCTTTGCTCTTTTTCTGGTCCATAGGATCCAGATCTGATGTTGTACTATCAATACAACCTGATGTTGTATAATACCTCTGCCACAAACAACAGAAAGTTTGTCCTTTGCTTTGCTATTGCTTGACCCAGCCACGCAGTTTGCCTCTCCTGGTCGGTTTGAGGTTATTCGCTCTCCCTGATGTTATTCTGTCTCATCACACCTTTGAAGATGCCCTCCTCCTGCCTGAATTGCCTCTTCTCTGCTGGGCACCCCTTGTCCTTCTCCATCCAGGGTTGTCACAGGGCTGAGATGGGAAGTGGGAGCTAGGGAGGAAGAAGAGCAATAGGGCACACACAGGGCCCAGAGGCAGGAGAAGGGTCTCTAAATGGAGTCAAATAGGGGAATAATTTTCTCAGGAAATCTCTTAAATTGGCAATTTGTTAGAAAATGGGTGCTTAGGACTTCACTGCTTCCGGGTATAACACTTCTCACAAGATTAGCTTTACAATGAGAATGTTACCTGGGATCTGTACCTCTCTGTGGCCTCTCACATTTGCATTAGCAGGCTAATTGGCTTGAGGATTTTGGCCAGCTGGACAACCAAACCTCAGAGAAGATGTGACAAGATCTTGTTAAAAGGAATTTGAGGAAGGCTTGGAAAGTGTACCACTTCAGTGCATGAACAAGTGTGTTGTTTTGTGAAGTCTGCAGAGTTGATTAATGATGAATGGTCTCTTTTTTCCCTTCTTGTTGCCCCTTGATGGCCAGCATGTGACATGAGAGTGGCT